AGAGAGAGAGAGAGGCAGAGAGAGAGAGAGAGACAGAGAGAGAGAGAGAGACAGACAGAGAGAGAGAATGAGAGAGAGAAGAAAAGAAAGAAATCATCATGGGATTGTGGGCAGAGTATTTTCTTTTGCTTTCAACAAAACAATCAGGACACTGAATACTTTTATTATAACTTTAAACCAGGGTTTCCCCACCTTGGCATGATTGACATTTTGGGCCATATATAATAACTGTTTGTTTTGGTGGAGGTCGGGTGTTGTCTTGTATACCTCAGGGTATTTAATGCCATCCCTGTCTCTTCTATCTACTAGATGCCAGTAGCACCCCTCCCCCGAGACCACGAAAAATATCTCTGGATTTTGCTATACGTACTTTGGAAGGCAAAACCACTCCTGGTTGAGAATCATTGCTTTACACAGATTTCCATTTATATCTATAGATTTTGAATTGCATAAAATGACAGTTTGTGGTATATTATATTTGCCAAATTTTTGACATTTTAAACAAAATCTGGAGGTTACATTCAAGTGATTTACATTGATAAATTGACACATTTTCTGACCTTCAGTTTCTTCACCTTCAAAAGAGTCATATTGATCTAAGATTCTTTTAATTCTATAATTCTTGGCTTATTACTTCAGGTTACAGTCATTCTCTACTCTGAAATTTCATTAGTTAACCTGGAGTATCATAGAGACTATATACATCCTGGGTATTAATTACTTCAAATATCAGTTGCTGATATTATTAGCTTAAGTATGAGAGACAAAGTATTTGTGAAGAATGAGCCTGGCTTTATTAAGTTTTTTAGTGTACCTAGTTAATGATGAATATATTCCTAGTTAACATAGATATTTGAAAAAATTATTCTATATTGATAGAGAACCAAAGGGAACTCATCCAAGCAGAATAAACTTGTGTAGAGTAAATGTGTATTATTCAATAAACATTGGATCACACCACAAAATAGATGATATAGACTGTGCTTATCAATTGTTTTAAGGATCTCTGTGGTTTTTGGTTGGTAAAGATATACTTTTGTCTCAATGCACAGTTCAAAACCCATGCATTCATACATCATTACGAAGCCCAGCAATACATTTTCTATAGTCAAATTATCACATGGTAATGAGGACCTCTATATAAACATGTTCAGTGTTTTCTTTACTGTGTTAGGAGTCCTCCTGGTAACAGACTTTGAGAGGGAATTGGGGTGCAAGAGGTTTATTAGGGGAGGAGGTAATGCTTGTCAAAGATGAAAGGGAGAGGGAGAAGAATTGGACAGGGAAAACAGACCAGCAAGCAAATCTGACAAAGTTTTGTCCAACACAATGGAGAACCCTGGGGGAAAGTTGCCCATCAGAGGAGTCCCATGCTGTGAAAAAATGGCCAGGTCTTAGAACTCCTACTATTGACCTTCCAGTATGAAGATTCAGTGTCTACTAGAAAATCAGAAATCTCTTTCCAGGTGGTGAAAAATGGTAATCAGTGATGCTATTTATTTACTTGCCAAGTACCAAATACTGTGCTAAGTTATTCTGTCATTTAATTCTCATAGTAACTTTATGAGATGGGCACTGTAATTGTTCACACTTTTATAAATGAGAAAATGGGACTACGAGATGTTAGATAATATATTCAACTCACACAAGCAGCCATGGTTTATACTCTGGCTTTTACCTCTGGGGCCCTCCCCTCCTACTGGTACCCTCATTGTGGAGATCAGCTGGGCACTGCTTAGCGACATTATGTATACACATGTCCTCTGTCCCAGCAATCTCTGCCCCTGAGTCTATCCCAAGGAATTTCTCACCCAGCTGTATAATGATCATTGCAGTAATTCTGTGGTGTTAGAGAATTAGGGACAATCTGAGTGTTCATAATAGGGTATTGTGCAGCAATAAAAAGCAGTGGCTTAAATGTACACAAATCAGCATGGATGAGATTGTAGAAACAGGATAACATGTGACACAGAAACAATAGGATATATGGTATGATATCATTAGCATACATTAAAATACATGCATATAAAACAGTAATAAATGTTGTATGAACATATTCAGTTAAAAGGTTGTGTGTGTGTTACATAAATGCTTGTATAAGGGAGGTAGAGAAGTAGGAGTGGGGTACAGAGATAAAAGGGGATAAATCAATAAATCAAGTGGGCCTACACTCTGCATCTCAAATCGGTGTTATTTGGAAATTGTGGTGATAATAAACAGAACTGTCAAAGCTATTACTGGTGGAGTTAAGAATGACGACAGCCGGGCATGGTGGCTCATGCCTTAATCCCAGCACTTTGGGAGGCTGAGGTGGGGAGATCACTTGAGGTCAGGAGTTCAAGACCAGTCTGGTCAACATGGTATAACACCGTCTCTACTAAAAATACAAAAATTAGCTGGACATGGTGACACACGCCTGTAGTCCCAGCTACTTGGGAGGCTGAGGAGGGAGGATCACTTGAACCTGAGAGTCAGAGGTTTCAGTGAGCTGAGATTGCTCCAAGTCCTAAGAATATAGGCAGCATCTCCAGAGTGGGAACTAGGAACTGTCTTTGGCAAAATCAAATGGAAACTGGACTGTTGATTATCTCTATACTGTGTTTACTGCCACAAACACTATTTTAGTTAAAGATGAGAGAATTGGTTTGTTCTCATTCTTTTCTGTTGACAATGAGGACTGGTTCCATTTGTCTTCTAGTTTTAAGGAAGCCTTGAATCCCTGAGGGATGGGCTTCTCGGTGGCTGCATTGATTGTGAGTGGTCTCCTCAGCCGTGGTAGACCAGAAGCAGTGAGATGGAAGGGTCCCAGGTGCGGCTTTTTCTTGCCATTGCACAGAGGGTATATTTCATTTTCCCAGGACTTCCTTAATTCTTTGTGACAAAAGAAAATATTTTCAACCAGCATTCATGCATCTCATTTATTTTCCTGTCTTGAACTTCGATTGGTTTTGTCATCTGCTAGAGCCCATCTTGTCCTTTCTTTCCCCTCTGTTTTGTTTTTGTCTTTTCTTTGGGTTATTCATAAAACATTTAAACAGCTATGTGACTTTAGGCAGTTAATTTCACTTCTTGGAGTCTCCATTGGCTCCCCTATAAAATAGGACCTACTCCTAGAATAAGCATTATAGTAACATCTACTCATAAAATGTGAGTCTTGAATTTAAAAATATACAAACAAAAACTTTAAGGTGCCTGGTAACAAAAGATGTCAGCTCTTTCCTCTTATATTAGCAGACAGGTCAAATTATTTTTAATGGAATGATTATTAGATTATTTCTAAGCGTTAGGGGGAACTCCTGAAGGCTTTAAAATGGGGGTGTGT